ATTTGAGCCCCGTGAAAAAATGAGCAGCACAGCCCCGCACCTGTTGTTTACAGCCTGAAGAAAGAGGGTCTCGCTTCCCCAGAGCCTCTGCTTTCCTGTACTTCCTGAGAAGGTCCTAAATCCTAGCCTTCTCAAATGCTTGCTGAAGAAATCCAAACCCCAGACCCAAAAGCTACTGAAAGATGCTTAACCTGGAAAATACGACCAAGGTGTTATTCAGAATACAAGCTTCAAACAATTCGCTTAGGTCATAGATGCAAGAGCACAGGTTTTCCCGAGACAGGAATCCATGTTCCTGGGTAAGGAAAGACCTTGAGCTATCCCAGCCTGACCTTGGCTCCCTGGTCAGCGCCGAGTTGACTGTGGTCATTTTCCAAAGGGCACTAAGGTCTAGGAGTGAGCTAGGCAGTGAACCAAGTTCTCCCTTAATCGTGTGAACTGTGAGAGTGAAAATCCTAAATCCATGACATGCTGATGGGCACAAGAATTGGAAGGATCATGAAGTGTTGGGCGACACAGTTACCTCGGCACGTGTTGATGAAACCATTTAGGGTTTTTTTTTTTTTTTTTTTTTTTGGTACCAGAAATCGAACTCACAACCTCGTGCTTGCTAGGGAGACTGAGCTCTGTCCCTGATGTCTCTGTTTAGGTTATGAAAGAGATGTTAAGAAGCCATGATAAAAAGAATATACAGACTTTAATGACAGAAAGCATTTCCGTTTTCAAATTTCCAGTTCTGGTTTCTACATGACCTTTCTCCACCTAAGTTTCCTATTCTCAAATATCCATGTTCTACTTTAGCTTTCTGAGTTTTATTCCTTACGTGTAATAAGACTTTAAAAATAGAGCTGGACTGGGGGTGTAGCTCAGTGATAGGAAAAACAAGGTTATATATAACTGGCTTAAATTACCAGCTTATACGTAAGAATGATCTGTATGCTGAGTCAGAGTGAAAAATCATAGAGAACCAGCAGAAAAGGAAGAGTAGCCATCCCATAATGACTGCTTCCTGTGTTCCTCCATGCGTTAAAAACGAGAAGACCAACAGTATTTCCATTTTGTCTCTACACCCCCTCTAATCAGCTTCCTGTTGTGTAACTTCCGGACTGTAGAAACCCATATTGTGGTCCTGTGTAAGGTCCCTCTATTAATGCTATCAAACTTCATTCACTATTTGGAGCAATTTCACCCGCACCAGGAATTTCCATGAGTGGAGCAGCAGAGCATGTTTGTGGTGCTCGCTTCACCTTCTCAGACCTTGGGAATTCCATAAAGATGCTCTGATTTCTCAGAAGTTTACCAACTCCTACTTTCATAGCCCACGTTAAGAAAAGTGACATCAGAGGAAATTTTGGGTGCAATCAAGATGAAACAGGACCAGGCGTGGGGAAGCTCTGCTCTCACGTTAGCCTCTTTTGTTCTCATGGACAGAAGCATCTGTGTGCACTCCTGAGGTCTGAGACACACCCCATTCTCCAGTGGACCGGTCCCACAGCCTCTCTTTCCTCAGGAGCCTTGGATTCTTGTATTTCTTCCTTTCCTGCTTACCCCGTGCTGCTCTGTGCATTTTGATGTCTCTCCATCGCCTCTCCCTTGTACCTGTCACTCGGTCAGTATCTTCTCCATTCAGCGATGTCTCAGAGATGCAACAGGGCTGAGAAATGTAAGCCATGCATCCCAATCCCTCTGTGCCACCTGGAAACTGTTGATCTCATTCCTCAGTTTACCCATCTGTCTAGGGATGAAGGGGTCACATAGATGACCTCCAAGAGCCCTCTTAGCTCTAACACCCTGAAACTTCAGAATGTTCTTCCCAAATGGAAAATGCTTTTAAAGGTTCTCTCTCATTGCTGTGTCTTCTCTTTAGATTCTCGGTACTTAACACTGGGTGCCTGGAAGGGCCTGATACATGCCGATTTGTGGGCCTCCCCATCAGTGGAGGGCACCGTGAGCACCATATAACACTGTCATCAGCATTGCAAAGCTGGACAAATGTGTGCTCTCCGTTGCTGCAGATGGCAGGAAATGGCTGAATAGCCTGGGAAGGGCGTGTCCCATGGGACCCTAACTGATGGGACCACACTGTGCTTTCCTGGACCTGCAGATCATTAGGAAATTCCTGGGTTCAGCGGCTGGGGCCCCTTGGAAGGTGGCAGAATTGAAGGAGTGGGTGGCAGACGGGAGGAAGACGGCGACACCATCTCCACCTACAACCCTTCCTGTCTTTAGTGATGTCACTGAGTCGACACAATCGTGACTGATTTGACATTCCATGGAAAATGAAATGATGAATGTGTTTGCCCTAGCAGAGCACACTGGGTTGTAATATCACGATATCCTACAACCCATGATGAGCAGGGCAGCCACGGGAAGACAGGTTTGGGAAGTCCCAGCATCCTAGGGTGTAATGGCTGACACACTGAAGATTTGAACTACAGTCCTTAGCCCTAACTGTCCTCTAGTTTACTCATTTATTTCTGTGTCAATCATCAGGGTCCCCAAAGCGTCACTGGTCTGCTGTAAAATAAATGCAATGGACAATAAAGAGTGAATGCATCAAAATTATCTAGAAGTGGCAGGACGTTATTATCAAGCCAATACCAGTTGTCACAGGAAAGCTTCTCTTATATAAGGCAGGTTGCCTAGTGACACAGCTCAAAAAACACGCTCCTCAAACCTCAGAAAGAATTTTTCTTGACTGTAATCAGGGGCTGCATTTGCTTTTATACATACCGAAAACTACGTTCTACCATCACAAATATATTATCTCTGGATCTCTGCTTTAAAAAAAAAATTACATTGACAGAAACCAAATCTGCTGATAAGGGGAAACTAAAAAAGAACCCTGAGTCCAGCCCTGTGGACAGCAGAGAGCCTGCAGGGAGCCCTGTTCCCCCAGCTGATCTCTGGGTGCTTCTAAGGTTGCTCAAGTTCACACGCAGTGAGCTGAACACCCTGCGTTGTCCGAGTCTCGTCTCCTCGGCCTTCAACCACTCTTACCTTGGACAGCATTTGCCATAGCTCAAGGTTGCTGACCTCGGGCCGTCCACACTCAGGGTGTGCATACTCACAGCGAATCACTGTCTGAAAGAAAGTCGCCAGGTCCAAAACTCTGCACGCAGCTGGGAGGTGATGAGTCAGGAAACCAAGGAAAAATACAGTGTTGGGAGACCAGCTTCAAAAGGCATTTTTTACCCCTAAATTAAAAAATCTGTCTTATTTTGAACATAAAAGATGCATTTTTACCGCAGGAAATCAAACACTACAGAAGAGACTGGGATTTTTCCTCTTCCGATAGGGATAGGAGTCCTCTGAGTTCAGGCCCCTACTTTGGCCTCACATAGGTTTAAATTCCTTCTAAAACACCCCCTCTCCACATCCTGGACAGTCACTCAGGGGTCAGGCTTTCAGGATAAATCGAGGGGGCACCCCATAAAATACAACATTTTCCTGTAGAAGTTCTACAAGTCAAAATCACGTCACTATTGATCTGTGTGGTCATTTCAATAGTGCCATGAAACCATCTGTCCTCGGTACCCATGGGCAAGGCTCCCAGGCCTCCCAAGAGGCCAAACTCATCAGATGTCCAAGAACCTCATGAAAATGACATGATAGCCACACATAGCCTATGTACAGCCCCAGATAATTGAAATCATCTCTGGGTGACTTGTGCTATCTAGTGCAAGTAGTATATAAATAGCTGCTATATTATATTGGTTAGTTGATAAGAAACAAGTCAGCACATGCTCAGTGCAGACATAAAGGATTTTTAAAAAGTATTTGTGAGCAGTTGGTTGATTCCAAGGACACAGATACAAGACTGGCTGTATTCACCTGAATGCATGAGGCATCATATAAACAATTACACATCGGTGTTACTGATTGCCTCTCTTGCAAATGCTGCAGTAAACACGTATTTGTGTTGACATGCATGTGCATGTGAATGCTTGCTCAGGGACCTACTACAACCAACTCTAGGCAAAAGGGGGATATAGCTCAGTGGTGGAATACTTACCTACCTTAAGAGCTACCAGATTCGATCTCTACCATGGGAGGGGGGGGGGGGTTCCAGATAAAGAATCATCCTGTTGTTTCTGGATCAGAACGTAAGCAATGTAGCTATTCCGGCTGTTGTTACTGCTCTGCATCATAAAGCTTTGTTTGCAATTAGGACAACAGCCTTGGCTTTGCCAGTAAAGGGAAAGCTTCCAGTGCTTCCCAGCCTTGATACAGACTCCCACCCAAACTCCATGGTCCTCTGCAGCTGAGAGTTCACTGATCTCAGAGTGCTTGACACAAGAAAATCTCATGTTCACAGTTTTTGTATCTTTATTGCTCATTTCTATTGCTTCATTTGTAAAGTCCCGTGTTTTCTTATGTCATGGTTTGAGGTGGTTTTTTTTTTTTTTTAGCATGAAATTGAAAGAGTCCTTAGAAATATTGGCTTTTTTAAGAAAAGAGGAAATTAGACACAACTAGAGACAGGTTTAGTGAAGCATAGCTGATGATAAAAAGCAGCTCAGAGAAGCCCTTGCACCCGAGAGAACAGGAGGGGAGGGTTGTAAAGGGTGGAGGGAAGCCTAAGGAAGGTTCTGGAATTGGAAGAGGAGGGTACCGAGACAGCAGGCAGGGCTGGGTCCGTGACCTGACTGGAGACCCCAGGGAGCCCAGGCAGTCACAGCAGGACCAGCATAAGATGTGCACCCACGGTGGTGCCCAGCCCCAGAGCCCGGGCAGCAGATGCCCTGAAGCTCCCTTTCCTACCCCGTTTAAGTATTTTTTTTTTTTCCTTAGGTGTGTATTTTATTTTTCCTAAAGTGAAATCAAAACCTTCTGGGTAGAGGCCTGTGTGTCCTGGCCTCTGCCGTTCCACGTGAGCGAAGCTGAGCTCCCTGAAATGCTGGTGGCCGCCTTGGTGCACGCTCAATCTCTTCCTCATTTAACCAGGAACAGGGCACACAGCCCAGAGCCGTTGTCCTGCCCACCCTGGGCGGCCGCACCCTACTCCACAAGGTCACACAAACGACTGCTGGGCTGGATCCACCCAAGTGGCAGAGCTCCCGAGCCAAATGCAGGCCGCCCGCCTGCCCCACGTCCTGCACTCCACCTTTACGGCTGCACATCACACTTACACTTTCTGCAAAGTGCTCTAATTAAGGACACTCGGACTTTAAGACTGTGGTAAGGAGACCACTTACGGGGAACTGAGATCTGAGCTCAGCACAGGGGCACACACTGCTCTTTAAGTCTTTCCACAGTGCTCACATTTTGTGATTTTCTTACCACTTTCCACCTTCCTTAGTAAATTCATTTTCTAAATTTTTAGTTGATTGCTGATTGTTTTCTAACTAGTGATTAGATGTAAAAGCCACTGACCCGTGTAATTATATAAACTACCATTTAATTAAACTTACATTGGTCCTAAGTTTTCCTGCTGATTAGTTGCAAATAACAGTCATATTATCTTTAATCATATGTCTTTAATCTTTTTTTACTTTTTGGTAGTACTGGGGAATTAAATCTAAGACCGTCTCACTGAACTACATTCCCAGCCTTTTATTTACTTTAAAATTTTGAGACAAGTTTTCACTCAGTCCAGGCTGGCCTTGGACTTCTAAACCTCCTGCCTCAGCCTCTCAGAGCACTGGGATTATGCCCAGTTCCTTAGTCTTTTATTTTGTTGCATGCAGAGTAACTAGATCAAATAGAGGAATAAAAAGAAAACCTGTTAGTTCAAGGACTTCCCAACACAGTATTTAGATTATTGGCATTTAAAAGTCTTGTTCAAAAATACCTGGATAGCTTATATTTTGACTTGCTAAATTTGTCCAGTGGCTTTCTAGTACGGCAAGGATCATGTCAAACAACAACGACTGTAGCAAGCCACCTAGTTCTGAGCCTCTTAAGACAGTCTCCCCAGTGTTACATTGTTAAGGATTTTAGTGGCTGCTGATTTTATAAATTCAGCAAGGCCGAGGTAGTTCACAAATATGCAGCTCAATCCTAGCACAGTGACTTGCGTAGAGTATGTGTTCAATAGACGTGGGTTGAATTGATGACTAGGCTTCTTTGTTAGCAATTTGGGAAAGACAAAGATCTATTTCTTGCATTACATTATCTTGAAAACCCATGAGCCATGCTTAACTCAAGGGCAAATAAGATCATGAATAATTTTGTATGAGATTCCATATAATCTGTAACAACAGTTAAGAGTTTGGGTTCAGCTGAATGTGCCGGGCCTGCCACAGCTGTACCCTGAGCTACACCAGAGGAGGAGAGCAGGGGGATCACTGGGGAACAAAGTAAGACCCTACCGTACAACAAGCAACAGAGAAAGAGGGGTCAGGTCTCAAGCCACGCCGCCAGTTCACCACTCAACGTTATTTTTCACTAACTTCCTGTCTCTGGACAAGCTTCCTCTGAGTTTTGGTTGCAAACACAAAACCACTGGTAGTGCCTGCCTCAGAGAATTATTGAGGATTAATTGAGAAAATGCATAGTAAATAATTAGTACACTGTCAGGAATGCTGAATTTTTAGTCAATGATGTTACCATAATTACTACTGACTGCATGCTCAGTAGGTGCTAAATACCATTCAAGCATTTTACATGTTTTTTTGAATAATAACAACATTCACTTTTGTTTCTCTGCTTCAGAAAATGAAAATTAAGAAAACAATTCAAGCTGCATGAGGGGGTGCATGCCCATAATCCGGCACTCTGGGAGACTGAGGCAAGAAGATCACAAGCTTGAGCCCAGCCTGGGCAATTTTTTTTTTTTTTTGTCTTTTTCCTTTTTATCGGTACCAGGGATCGAACTCACGACTGCCTGCTTGCAAGGAAGGCGCTTATGCCGCTGAGCTAAATCCCCAGCCCCCAGCCTGGGAAATTTAGCAATCTGGTGAGAACGTGTCTCCAAATAAAAATAAAAAGTGCTGGGATGCAGCACAACCTTGGGTTCAATTGCCAATGCCACATACACACAAAAATAAAATTAAAAAGATTCAGCTTTTTCAGGAGACTTACAATAGGTCAGTTAGTGATTCTCTAGTTGCATCCTGGACGTGGCAGCTCTGGTGTCACCACGTGCATTGACTCGTTATTGCTACTGCAACAAATTACAGCAGATTTTATGACGTAAAATAGCACGCGCTGATTATCTTACACTTCCTGTATGTCAGAGGTCCCACGGCCAAAGTCAAACTGTCAGCCGCACTGCTCATCCTTCTGGAAACTCTGCGGACTCACCCGTGCTCCTGCCCATCCAGGTCTGCAGAATCTGCTCCCCGAGTCCAGGGGCCAAGTGCAGCCCGGTGCACCGAGCTACTGAGAGCAGAGCGACTTCTTTCCCCCGCTGCCTCTGCCACTTTTAAGGGCCCAGCCCTTGGGCTCCTCACCCTACCTCAAGTCAGGTGATTAACGGCTTTGATTCCACCTGCTGCGGCCCTGGTCCAGCGTCCAGGCCCTGGGTGGGGTATGGACGGTTGGGGGCTGTGCTCGGGGGCGGGACCTCCCTAGCACCCTGCCTGTGGCACCTGGAGCCTTTGGAGATCAGCCAGTCTCCCAGGGCTCTCGGGGCTGCTGGATCAGGAGCAGGAGGAAGGCCCAGCAGCCCAGGGGGAGTTGTGCAGTGGTGGCCACCAGTCACCAGAAGTGGCTTCTGAGAAACCTGCAAGGGTTCAGGCGCAGAGCGGGGCTTCAGAAGCTAAAGGGGAGCCAAGCAAATGCACCGTCAAAGTAGAGTCAGCCTCTGTGAGGAGCTCAGCTTCGTAGATGCTTTTCTGTGCACATCTACATTTGCTCCACGACATTAATGATTTCTGCTCTTAATTTTCCTCAGAAATGATAGATTTCAGCTGGGTGTTTAGTTGACTTCAGTGAAAATTGTGTAAGTCTGGACAGAAAGCTTTTCATGTTTGCCTTCTGGAAGGAGTGACGTCTAAGGGCCAGTCATCACGCAGAAGGTAGACATGTGATTAAGAGCAAATGGGGAACCTCACCAGGTGGCCTTGCCTCCGTCTTGGAAAGTGGGGGGTCAGAAAGGGACATCGTGATCGCCACCCACTTTGGTCTTTGTTTCACGTTATTAAGAAGAGTGATGCAGGAGAGATGGGGCACAGGGCAACAGGAGGACGGGGACACGGGCCAGGCGCCTGCACAAAGCAGGTCTCAGAGCTGGTTCCTGCGGGTGGGGCACATGAACAGATGGCTCGCAAATGTGGCTGAAGAGGAAGGACTTCCTGCCTGAAATAGTTTAAGCAAATCCTTTTATTCTCCACAGTGGCATTCAATGCTGTAAAGACAACGGGGTGTCGATGAAGAATAAAGTGGCTGAAAAGTTTGCAAATGAAATGGCAAAAGATTGACGTAGCTGTCCTGTCCACAGGATGACATTTACCTGGGCTGCACGAACCGTGTTCCCTGCTGGCTTTCAATTTGGGGATGTGTCATCACAAATATACAGTAAACTTGACATAGGAATCACATGAGCTGTTTTGTTTTGTTTTGTTTTGTTTTGTTTTGTTCAGGGTCTCACTGTGCATTTCAGGCTAACCCTGAATTCGCTGTGGGAGATCCCCCGGCTCAGCCGCCCAAATGCTGGAGTCACAGATGTGTGTCACCTTGCCCAATATATGACTTTTCCCCCCTTAGTTTCCTTTTGTATATCTTGCAAAACCTAGCAAAATCTCGGTAGATCAATTCCATGATCACACATCGCCCTTCCTAGGACCCAAATTCTGGGTCAGGTTCAGAAGCCACAACGCTCGTTTCTTAGTCTACGCATTCACTTGACCTGGTCACTCATCGTGGTTTATTTTGTTGGATTTTTATGAAATCTCTACCAAGGGTTAGAGAGATCACAGAAATTGCTTACAGCTGTGGTAGAAGAGTGCGCTTCCCCGCTACTATGTTTTAAAGAAACATCGCCAAAGCAATCTCACTGCTCAACTTGCTAGATTAGTTTGAAAGAATACAGAGTGGCCTTTCTTGCTCATGTTTCCTCTCTCTTGTGTGTTTCTGAAGCTCAAACAGTTGCAATTTTATTTTAAGCTAAAGAAAAGAAACCAAAAGGAAAGGAAAGGAAAAGGGGAAAAAAAGCCCAGGCAGAGGAAAGGCTTACCTGGCCCTGTGCTGTCTCCCTCTCTCCAGGCTTCTCCCCCAGTCCTCGTGCTAATGTGGTGAGCGGGAAACTGCTCTCCAAATCAGGGGTTAATGAAGGTCATTTTGGCGCCAGCAGCTTCCTGCACCCTCAGCAGAAGCTGGGGCTGCGGCTCTGTCGGCAGCCACCTCCAGGCTCAGCCAGGGGAAGCCTGTGCAGTCAGCCCCCAGCCCACCAGGCTCCTGCTGCTGGGGGCTGTGACCTGCTCATTGGATATAAGACGTGGCCTTTCTGCCTGGGCCAGCGTGATGTGCTGACCACCACTGAGTGCAGTGACAGTGGACAGCCGAAGGGCTGACTCTCCCCGCCTCAGCCCTGTCCTGGCAGTCATGGCCCGCAGGTGGCAGCAGCATCAGCAGAGCCACATGGGTGCTGTCCCCAAGGTCCCAGCCTGTCTCTGCACCCAGCAGTGTGGACCGGTGTGTGTGTGTGTATCTTTGTGTGTGTGTTAGACCTAACATTGCACGAGCCACACCGCAGGTGCCTGACAACAGCAGGTGACAGGGAAGGAGAGGTACCAAGGCCCAGGCATCATAGGAAAGACAGCAGGCAGCAGAAGAGCCCACTGGGACTCGGGTCACTGGTGAGTGCGGGAAGAGGGGAAGTTGTATGACAGATGGGGAGAGGGAAAAGTGCTCCTGCCTCTGTGGCCCTAGTGGGGACGGGCTCAGTGCCCAGTTGCTCTCCAGGTAAGAGACCTCTAGCTCTGTCTGGCATGGCAATGTGTCCTCGTTATGGGGGTTGAGGGGAACTGCTGTCCTGGGTTGAGCAAGCCCAGCTCTATGGAGTGGGCATGTAATTCTGGTCCATCCCTGCAGGCCTCCAGCTTCCCAGTAGCTCTGCCTTTCTCTCTGGGAAGCAAACTGGTTAGAAAAACTGAGGGCACAAATCTCAAACCAATCCACACCCTGCGCTACACATGTGATCCTGTGGAATTATGGAAAAACCCATAGGTGCTCCAGTGATTCAACCAATGCTAGCAGCACTGTGGGAAACTCTCCTGACAAAGGATGGAGTCTTACTGAGAAGGTGGCGGCCAGAAATGAATACTCGAGGAGAAGAAAACGTGCAGATGGAGCTTGTGTGCAAGATCATGGAGCCTGGTAGGGACCCTGTGCCGAACGCTCCTCCACGAAAATGAGTAACACATAGACGTCTCTTGTAACTTCAACCCCTGTGCTAGCATCGAGGGAAAGACATGAGAATCAGATCATGGTAAGACAGACACTGTGCCCAAGGCATACAGTGCACACCACGGCACCACAGGGGCGGGAGAGGAAATGAAGGGCAGTCTCACTCATCGCACGCCTGAAGTGTTGCAGGAGGACTCAGAGGAAGCACAGAAGCTGGGTGTTCTGTCACTCGCTAGCAGTTCCAGCCACTCGGGAGGCCGTCAGGAGGACGGCTAGTTTGAGCATAGGCTGAGACACTTAGCAAGACTCTGTCTCGAAGTTTTTAAAACATGAGGAGGATTAGGGTGGAACGAGCTAAAAGACGAGAGGCTGAGCCTGGGGAGCACAGGTGCTCAAACAGTGTGCAGGCTCCCCTGCCCTTGCATGCCAAAGGCCATGTCGACGGAGGACGCAGGCAGCCCCGCTCTGTTACCAGAGGCCAGCTGCACAGCCAGATTGGTGGTGTCCGCACTAGGGCGACTCACTCTATGGCACGGGCCCCTCTTTCCCTGGAGCACCTGGCTGCAGTGTGCAGACGCCCAATATGACACTTAGTGCCACATATGTGTGGGTTGCACTCAGTGGGTTCCTTACAGATCTTTCTTTCTTTCTTTCTTTCTTTCTTTCTTTCTTTCTTTCTTTCCCAATTGGGAATCGAACTCAGGACCTTGTGCTTGCAGGCAGGCACCGTGCAGCTGAGCCGTATCCCCAACTGGATCCGTATTTCATAAGAAACAAAGTGACGCGTTTGTGCTCTGTGTGCTGGGACAGGTGAAGACTGTGAAGCAGCACCGCTTTCTGACGCACAGGGTGGCGGCTCACTGCCCCGGAGCACCCTGCTCCGGGCTTCCCCGGAGGAGGTGATGAAATCAGGCTCCTCAGCAGCTGTGTTGTGTCTCCTGTACAGACGGTGTTTAGGCTCAGGACACAGTGTCACCGAAATCCACGCAGGCATCCCATCAGCTGGCTGTCATTTAATAGCAGTGAATCTCCCACTTCAGGCCAAATATCTTCTAAGTAGGATCTTTCACAGTACATTGAATATGTGAAACCATGTGTGGGCATCAAAAGGCACATGCGAGGGATCATCAGCATGATGCTGGAAGGGCTGGGCGACGTGAAGTCCAGCTTGCCTCACCTGCCCTTAGCCCTGCAAAGAAATCCACAGACAGTTTCATCCCTGGAGAATTACAGATTTCCTTGTATTTTCAGAAAAACAATGAAAAATTCCCAATTGTTTCAGAAAACCTGTTTGTGCGTCATTTTCAGGGTAACTGGCTTCTACTGCCGGACAGTTTTGGGGTCTTTAGCTGGCAGTGAAATTTCACAGCGGGATACAGCTCCAGTAGTTTCTCAGCCACTGTGAGGGTTGTTTTGTTTTGCTTTGATTTTTGGTGCTGGGGATCAAATTCATCAGCTCGCACTTGCTAGGCAGGCGCTTATGCCGCTGAGCTAAATCCCCAGCCCCCCTCCCCCCCGTGTTTTGTTTTTAACCTTTTTAAGTTTGCATGTCTACAAAATGTCACCTAACATGGCTGTGATTCATGAACGTTGGAGTTTTTAGCTTTGGTATAAAAGTAAAGGTTGTCACCTGCAATGACAAAATGAGCCTTGGGCCACATCTCCGCTGCAAGGACATCCTGACATGCGCTGGCATCACACAGGAGAGAAGGCTGGATCCCTCACTGGGCCACTGTCAGCAACATTAGTTTTCATGGGGAAAACTTCCGATGTTCCTTTCTCTATAAGCTGATGCTATTTTTAGTTTGATTACGTAAATGTACATTTCTAATATTGCTGTTTGTTTAATATGCTGGGGAGTGGACACAGGCCTTCACACTGAGTTGTATCCTCTGGCATTTTTATTTATTATTCTGAGACATGGTCTGTTCAGTTGCCTCCCAAAGTGCTGGGGTTACAGATGTGTACCACTCTATGTACTATATGCAGTTTTAGTTTTTGTATGAAATATCCACTTCATATAAAATGACTCACTTTTAGAAAATTGATTATCATTTATATTTGAGGAGAAAAGACTAAAAAGATATGAATTTTAAAGGGAATTTAGGAATAGAACCAACCACAAAATCTGAAAGATTCACTAGCAGGCATTGTTGACTGACTCAGCAAAGCTGGCCCCAGAGGCCAGTAGGAGAGGAAATGCCGAGAACAGTCCTGGGGCCTGGGCCCACACAGGAGGGCGGCGAGAACCGTCCATCAGGGGAAGTGGATGATCTTGGAAGAAAAACCCAACCAGGAATGTGATATGTGGAATGCTAGACAGTGGGTTTTCCGGGTGGAGACGTCTAAAAGATAGTGGGGGGCACCAGCTATAAACCAAGGCAACCCGGGACCAGCACGCACCCCTGCATCAGGGAGCCGCCTCCAGGGTATCCTTGTGAGCCAGGCCAAGGCGGGACTTCTGCCCCGTTGGAGCAGGAGGCGCTTTCCTCCTCCCCACCTGGCCTCCCGGCTTCTAGGACCTTCCCAATGATGGCCTCGGGTCTGCACTTCCAAAACCAGTATTGACCTTCGACTAAAGTAGAAGTGAGCCCCGAAGAGTAAAGTCTGGAAAACCGCATGTGAGAAGAGAAGGAAATACATTAGGTAACGTCTCCCACAAGTCTGAAATCATCAAACCCTCTTTCAGAGAGAAGTTAACTTATTTTGCTTTATTTGTATTTTAGGTCTTGTGTTCCCACAGACCTAAAAATTTGGTATATTAACAAAATGACCCAAAGAGCAACTTTCCAGTGTGTGTGTTTTGTGAGCTTTTTAAAAAGTTACCTAGTACACAATCTCCATTTTATTTATTTATTTATTTATCTCTTTGAGACAGGGTTTCACTGTGCAGTTCAGGCTGGCCCCCAGCTCACAGCAATCCTCCTGTCTCAGCCTCCCCAAGTGCTGCCCAGCTAATCTGTCAGTTTCTTGGGATAATCGTTTTCCTATGGACACCACTGCCTCTGGGCACCACAGCACCAGCAGCACAGCCCTGTTTACTGCAGCCTGAAGGCCCCTTAACCAGGGCAAGTGCTTCAATTCTAAAACTTGCCCAGCTTAGCAGGCAGGGGACAGCTCCTTTTGGGCAGGGGCTTGGGTTTAGCTGAGCTGGCTTCCTTCTGCTTGTGTAGTTTCTCAGAGCAAGGGCAGAGGA